CGCACAGAAGTCGCCAACTGTCTGCAGAGTCAATAGCTACAGACCTCCAAACTTCATGTGGCCTTCAGATTGGCACAACAGTGCGTAGAGAGCTTCATGGAATGGGTCTCCATGGCCAAGCAGCTAAGCCCCACATCACCAAGTGCAATGCAAAGTGTCGGATGCAGTGGTGTAAAGCATGCTGCCATTGGACTCTAGAGAAGTGGAGACGCGTTCTCTGGAGTCAGGAATCCCGCTTCTCTGTCTGGCAATTCCATGGACGTGTCTGGGTTTGGCAGTTGCCAGGAGAGCAGTACTTGCCTGACTGCATTGTGCCAAGTGTAAAGTTTGGTGGAGGGGGGATTATGGTGTGGAGTTGTTTTCCAGGGGTTGGACTTGGCCCTTTAGTTCCAGTGAAGGGAACTCTTAAGGCATCAGCATACCAAGACAATTTCATGCTCCCAACTTTGTGGAAACAGTTTGGGGAGGGCCCCTTTCTGTTCCAACATGACAGTACACAAAGCAAGGTCCATAAAGACATGGGTGAGCGAGTTTGGGGTGGAGGAACGTGACTGGACTGCACAGAATCCTGACCTCAACCCGAAAGAACACCCTTGGGATGAATTAGAGCAGAGACTGCGAGCCAGGTCTTCTCGTCCAACATTAGTACCGGCCCTCAAACACTCCCATAGACATACTCCTAAACCTTGTGGACAGCCTTCCCAGAAGAGTTGAAGCTGTTATAGCCGCAAAGGGTGGGCCAACTCAATATTGAACCCTACGGACTAAGACTGGGATGCCATCAAAGTTCATTTTCGGGTAAAAGGCAGGCGTCCCAATACTTTTGGCAACATAGTATAGGTGTATACATTGGGGTCTATTCACGAAGCTGCCGAGGGCAGCCGAGTGAATGACCGATCTGAAGCGAAGTGAGCCGAACACTGTTCGGCTATTCACTGCAGGCTGGTATGGCTAATTTCAGCCGTACATCGGCTTGCTTCATGTGGCTTCGGGGCGGCCGAACATGCTCAGCATGTTCGGCCGACCCGAAGTGCAGAAGGAGTTCGACTCAGCCGATCCAACATCTGGATCGGCTGAGCAGAACCTCCGGCAGGCTTCTCACTGCTGTTCGGGCTATTCTTAAAGATCCCGAACAGCAGTGAGTGAATTGCCGAATGCCGCCGAGCGGCATTCGGCTCGGCTGTTCTGCTCGGTCCCTCAGAGGTACCGAGCAGAACAGAAAAACAGTGAAAAAAGTTAATTATCTTCTATTGTGAGAAGCTAGCTTTCTCACAATGAGATATACGGATGTTTGTTTATAGGTTCCCTCTTTTGTTTTCAGTAAGCTTTGTATCAATAATCATACCCAAGCTGGTCAACAAAAGCTAGACCTTTTGGCATTAACTGACTGTAGATAGCATTTGTGTTTAGATACACCTGCCACAGAATTTAATGCAAGTGTAAGGGCGACGCCCACAGGTGTTGGCTACCAATTTTCTAAATGAAAGCCAGAAGCACAGGTGAATAGGAGGACTTCACTGTTCAATACGGAAATTGTAGACCAGCAACAACCAAAGCCAAGTGACTTAAGTGTATCTTAAGCGCTGCGCAAACTGTTGGCGCTATATAAATCCTGTATAATAATAATAATCTTCTTATAGGAACTATTGTATATGCTAGAGAAGGGTATAATGTATGCATTTATGTATGGATGTATGGATGTATGGATGACGGTATTTATGAGCAGCCTGTATGTTTATGTATTGTTTTACCTGTAACTAAGTAGTTTGTGTACAAAGCATTTGTTGTGTAGTAAAAATACGTTAAATACTACAGGGCCAGTTTCCTTGGCTCTACTACAAGTATCAGATAAACAAATGGCTGTAAAAGTTTGCAAAGCAATTTATACACCTGGATATCTCATGCTGTCTTGCCTTGAAAATGGGCTCTCCATGCTGCCCTACTGGTGTCAGCCATAACTATGGTCCAGTATGTAGAAAGCAGAGGCTGGCAATGAAAGAGATCTTCCCTGTGCATCCATCACCGGAGGTACTGTTCCATTCTCCGAGCGATCTGAATCTTCTGATGGAGGTCCAATGTCATCCACTGGAACAGGAACGTCTGCTAAAATGGGCGCACATCAGGGTCGTCTTGAGGCCAAGTTTCACCCAGAGCAGATACCGGGTAACACCCCACCGTGATGTCATCGCACGTGACGTGATAACATCGTGCATGCGCGATCATCTTGGTGATGGATGCCAGCAGAGAGAGGAGGGGACGTTCACCCGGCGGGATAAGGTATGCCGCCGGGTCCCCTCATCTCTCCTGCAACTGTTGGGCTCTCGGTCCATGACTGAGTGCCTGACTTTTCAGAGGAGGCGACCCCTTCAATGGTGTCACCCGGGTGCGGTCTGCACCCCCCTTGCAACACTACTGGCGCACATGCCACTTTATGATTGGAATTCTCACTGTTAAAGACCCCAATGTCGAGTCATCAAGATGAGTTGTATGTGTGACTGATATAAGGTACTACCGTACAAGCGGTTTCTGAATTTTACAACTGAAACAAAAATGTTTGACATAAATCGCTTCTTAATTTTTTTTTATTGCATGTTACATTAGTACATAACTTTTTTAAGCACATTTCTAGAAGTTATGCTCATCAAAATATCAGTGGGAGTGATATAAGCTATACAGACTATTCATATCATAGCAGATATGTACTGGGATTTACAGCAGCCGAACTTATTACCATACATCACTCTTTTGGTTGTTGGAAAAGTAAAAACAAAGGCAATGCTACTATAAGATTTGGCACGTCTCTGCTCAACGGATTAGTAGCTATACGTTAAAACTGCTGGAAAAATACATTTATAATTTACTCATTTTAAATTACCGAATAAATAGTATTAAGATGAATAGCGAAACCTACAGGTTTTAATAACGTAGTGCAAAGTGCACTGACTAGATGGGAAAGTTACAGTAACCCCTAGCAGCCAGATTTCACTGTAGTTAGAGCAGTAAAAGATTAAATCCAATTCATTTTGCGCTCTGCATCACTATTAAATAAATCCAAAAGTGTTTATAAAATTACAAATCTAAAGTGACAAACATTTATGCCCAGTATAAATAATTGGGACATTTCCATTTTAACCATATAGACATTACTGCATGTTGCATTACTCCTTGTCAAAGGTAGTGTCACATCTATGAATCTTACAAGACCCTTCCAGAGATGAGTCTCAGTGTGTGAGGGAATATGAAGGAGAGGTACATAGAAGTAGGAAGGGAAAAGCAAAAGAGCTAGAAAAAGGACAATCGTGTGTGCAGCTAACAGAGGACATAGCAGGTGCAGGTTGGGGAGGATAAAGCATGGCAAAGGGACTTAGTGCAGATTTCTGCAGTGCCAACACTCAGCTGTGTTGAAGTGTAATGTAAAGGGTTCACAAAACCCTAAAAGAAGTGCTCCTTTTAATGTACATGGGCCTTGTACCTGATTCAGAACCTCAGGACAAGATCGGTGTAATCGTGCTAATTGCCAATAGTATGGTCCAAATGTTCAATGCTTACCAAATACCTATAATGTTCAGTGCATCCTTTATGAAAAACAGCTCAGCTACTCACATACAGGCTTAAAGCAGACGTCCAAACTAAACATTCAGCTCTGACCTACTGCAACCTTTCCCCTTAGTATTTAAAATGGAATGTTTTAGAATTTGTTTCTGTACTTTTTAAAACGTTTTTGAATCTGGCCCCACCCCTGCTGTGGAGATATCCCCACCAGGGGCGTCCTGATGCCGGGTTTCACCCGGAGAGGTTACCGGATGACACCCCGCTGTGGCTTCACCGTGCATGATGTCACCACACGCGTGAACAAGGACGTCATTGAGCATGCGTGGCGATCTTATTGCTACCTGCCGGCGGCCATCTTGGTGATGGACGCCGGCAGAGAGAAGAGGGGACAGTCATCCGGTGGGATAAGGTATGCCTCGGGGGCCCCTCCTCTCTTCCGAAACTGTCGGGCGCTCGCTCCATGACCGAGTGCCTTACTTTTCGTCGGGCGGGGGGCTATGACACCAAAATTACTGTCAGTCATTTTGGTGTCACCCCTCCAATGGTGTCACCCAGACCCCCTCCCCACATATCACAGAATGCTTAAGGAGTTTGGACACCGAGCGGCCGGTGGGGTGGAGCTGCACTCATCATTAGAACCAGCTATCTGAAGAGGCAGCTACCTCCCAATGACCAAGAAGCATCAAGATGGTGTCTTGGGACCCAGGCTGTGTCACTTGAACAGTGGATTGCAGCAGTATAATACTGGATTTGCTGGCCAGGTGAATATTGTATTTGAGTACAAACACAAAAAGGTAAGAGGGGTTAAAAAAAAATACTGGACAGTGACTAACATCTGATTGGGTGCAGTCACTGTTTGGCCAACAATTTTTCACCCGCCACCTTTAACAAAACTAGATCAGAAAAATTGACTTTTGTTGAGCCGGGGTGGTGCGGACAGCTACACCCAAAACTCAAATTTCAGCCAGTTCAGTAGGAATTGGTCAAAATGTGATCAGTGTATGGCCAGCTTATTCAGTAAGGCACAGCAACTCATGAAATCAAATGTCAGCAATTGGAGTCCAGTAATTTGACATCTCACTAGCTTTCGTTTGCTGTTCCACTCACACTGCCCTATTAGGGAAGACCAACAGTACCCAAATACATACATAGACAAATAAAAAAAAATAAAAAAGCAGATGTGCCCATCTGGAAACGTGTACAAATGATAAGCACGGAATGTTCATGGCTGCACCATCACCCAGCAGTTTATAATTGTGAGGATTTTGTGAACAGAACGCAATTGAATGCAGTAAGGTGACGGGATTCAGTGACTACTACCGCTATCTACATGACTGACATTGTGGCTTTGTGTTGAAGCTGGAGGAAATGGTTCCAATGTAAGAATATTGTTGTTGGGTTTTGTTCACACGCATTAAATTGGATCTGTAAACAAAATAGTAAGGTAGTCATGGCTGATCATGATCGTGGACCTGTCTACAATATTGTGGTAAAGACCTTGGCTGTCTCTAAAAATCTTATACAAGATGAGGCAGTCTCCTCTATAGAATTAGACCACCCAGTGAGGTTCTCCTCGATGTATGGCATCATGTCCGATGTTAACTGGTTCAGGTAATTTACCTGTAATAAAAATAAAAAAAAGGAAGGAGTACAATACATATAACAAATATATAGTGAGTACATCATTCTTAATCTGAGTTTATAAAAAAAAAGTCATAGGAACAAATCTAACAAATCTGCTACCAGCTGCCATTTCTGCAGCGCAGGGTTGAAAATGAAACAAAGACTTGGATTAGTTACTACAGGCAACACATCAAGTCCTTGTTAGCTCACTTCTCATTTAGAAGCATCATTGTTGTTGAGCTCCTTCACCTGTATGCACCTTATTAAACAGAGCAAAGTCTTTGGGTTACCTATGGGCCCAATGATTCAGCAATAACTTATACTGAATAGAGAAATAATTTTTGGGGACACACAAGGCTTTCTTTTTAAAAACGCACCTGACATTCATCTTTTCCACGATTGTAAATCAGGAAACCAGCACATTGCACCTCACTTCTCAGGAACTCCAGCGATGGAGGACAAGAGGCCAAGGTCACCGATCTTTCTGCAATGACGTAAGCATCACTAGAAGTATATAAATATAAAAAATAAAAATACTAAAATTAATTATTTGAACTTGATTTTATTGTTACAGGCAATACTGCCCAAGGTTTAATTCCTCAAAATAAACATGCCTTGGCTGACCATGGACATTGTACGGCGGTCCAGGCTTGTCTATCTGATGCCTCATTTTTATGGACTCACTTTTAGCGCTTAGTTACCTGGACCACTATGGCTCTACCCACAAAAAAACTTAATTTTGTTTTGGACAGAGCAGGGAAGGGTTTGAGCATCTGAGGTTTTTATTGCCGTGTCCGAGGCTTTCAACCACTTCTTGTCAGGACAAAAAGCGATGGGAAAGCGTTCCTACATGGGGACAAAAACTAATTTATAGTAGGGAAGGGTTAAAACTTCCCAGAATGTTTTTATTACTGTCCATGTCTTACTGTCCCTGCTGACAACGGCACCCCCTATTTCCACAGGGACAGGAAGAGAGAAAATCTGACCAAAAGAATGAAATAGTTAACTCTTTCCTACTCTATCCAAAACTGATAAGAATTGACTGGGGTTAGCCTTTAATGCCCAGGTCAGTAATGTGGAATGCGAAGGCAAGTAAAATCATTCAGTGAAATACTAATGCTATCCAGTAAATACAGCAACAGTCCCACAGCCAGAAAGTTCATTCACTTTATTATAGTCTGAGTTCAGCGTAATAAGAATAAGCACACACAGCTCTGTAGGTCAGTAGGACAATAGAACGAGTGCACTTCCCGAGGCCTGCATCACCAATTAGTATTCAAACTTTCAAAGCAGGACTAAATCTGATTGGGGACTATGAGAAACATAGTTTTCTAACATCAATCATTTTACAACATTTGAAGTGATAAATATAACATTTAACATAGATAAAACATATCTGATTGCAAGTGCAGTTAGAGTGGACCTGAATTCAAAAAGTGAAGATTTAATATGAAATAGGGAACATTTAGAAATGTCAATAGTGTCTAAGAAGTCCCCTGAAAAAAATATCTTTGGACTTTATTTCCTCCTGAAAAATAGCAGTGCACTTCCAACCCTACCTGGTATGAGTGTACCTAGGCATGCCTGTGCCTTCCACCTCAGATGTATAATGTATATGCATTGTGAGATCTAAAGGCACTGCTGCCTCCGACTGCTAGTCTCATAAGATCTGGAGTGATATTTGGTTATGTGACTACTGTGCTGCTCATTGTTCTCCTTGCTGGAAGCAAACCTCTGGCTCTATCAAGATGGCCACCTCCACACAGAGACACAGTGAAGAACAAGACATGGTAGGTCAGTAATGGGGGAAAAAACAAAGCTGCAAGGAGACCACAGGCAACACTGCTGACTAGGCATTCGTCCTCGTTTTCACCTTCCTCTGGTTTAGGGTTCTGAGAATGCAAGGTTTTAACAAAGGGCTAAAGCACAACTTCAATTATTTTTATTTTTTATAACACTGAATTTGTTGGGTTTTTTTTTTTAAAACCTATGCATCTATTATTAGGAATAGTTAAGGCATTTACTATGGCCACGACATCAATGAACAACCATACTCATATCATCTGGTCATGACCTGTGTCATCAGCCCCATGTTTTCTTGAGAAAACACCACTCTGTTACACTGGATTGTGGTATAGTATGTTGTGCAAGACACTGCACTTCAGTGTGTTAAAGCTGTGACTCACCCATTTTTACATGGAGACCTCCGGGACATCAGCACCACAAAATCTCTGGACTTGCTTTGCTTTACAGGAGGAGAACTTATATAGAATATTTTATCATCATCACTGGCAGTTTCAACCACTTTACAGCTCCTGCAAATATAATGTAAGCAGAAGGCATCAAAATTAGTAAAGCTCCCAAACCGTTACAAACCTAATGTATAGTATTTTCTTAACAGATATGGATTCAAGGATTACTCTGAAAATCTTAGTTTCTGTATATAATAAATGATCATATATGGCCATGCGGACAGGCTTTAGGGGTTATGCTTTACTGCTGGTTCTCACAATGCACATATATGAGGCAGGATTTATAAAGCAGAAAAATGAATATGGGCCTCCCTATAAAAAAGGACAAATTTACACATCTATAAATTTAATTTTAAAAAATATGAAAACATACATACACTTTCACTTTAACATGAAACAGAGACACTCATGGGAAGACTAGGCAACCAAAAATGCATTAAGCCCATGACACACTGCATGCAAAGCCGTGCAGAGCGAAGCAAAGCTGTCAGGCACGGAGCTGTGTATGCAGCATGTGACCTGAGTGCAGCCAGATGAAAGACGGCATCTTCAGCCAGCACGCAACAACCGAAAGTAGTTCACTGTGACGCGTGGGTTTATATGCGCCAGCCGATCGGCTGAAAATTACATTTTTGGGGTCTCGCAAGCGGACGTGCTTGAAAGAAAATGACATGACAGACTGCAGTGTGTCACAGCCTTTACCGATACTGACAAAATCTGCTTGTCCAAAATGAAGGTAGGATAATACATTATAACCAATAAAGAGCTCAATATCAGCCAAAGATAACGTGCGTCTATAATCATGCTTGCACTGTATTTGTATTTTGTTGCACTGGTTGAGATATTTTACGGCGTATACCAAAGGCATGTAAAGGACTCCAGAGGTGGGTTGACATTTCACCTTAGGAATAAGTTCTTAGCTGGTTGTGGGATGTGAATGTAAAGTTGGGCGCCAGTCACTTTAAGGGTTTTCAAAGATTTTATTCCTCAGACAGCTCCCATAGGAGAGAGGGGTAAAGGGCTACAGACACTTAGGACAGCACAGACTCCAGACTCGCTGACCGTTTCCCAGCTTTGCAGTGCAGAGAGCCTTTCCCCACTGTGTAACCTCAGCAGTGAGGAGCAAGTGAGGGACAAGGAGGCTCTTCCCCGTCTCCTCCCTTCCTGCTTTACACTAGCTTGGGGACGGGACGTGCTGGGGAATGCCTCACCCAGAACAAGAGGTACTGCACGTCACTGGTATCTACTTTATGGATGGAGATGTCGACTCAGGTGATAGGAGTAAATCATGGTGCCTGGGCAATTCCTGGCTGTATTTACAAATAACTGACAGTTACTGCTGCATGCTCCCACCTTCAGACTCTAACATTAAACTTTGTAGCACGCCATATTACTAGGGAGGAAATGCTTATTATGCCTGCAGAGAACTGATGGCATCTCAGCCTATCCAAAGTCATTTTAGTGGAGCTCACGATTTTCTTTTAATTATCACTTTTTATGATTTTTTTGCCAAACAATGTATACCGTTGTGCATTGTCATATATCAGGAATGTATAAATGCAGACTGATAAAGCTACTGAAAGATCCACGTTAAAAAGGACTAAAGTTTGTTATGCTTACAAGTAGTGTACATCCCAATGTGGTCGCAGTCCAAGGTCAGACAGCAGTAGATAAGCTTGGCTTGCATGTACTTTCACCTGCATTTCAACTTTTATTGATAGTGTATCATTCTCTTCATGGGTATAAACTTTCACCTGAAAAAAAAAAAAAAAAAGCAAGGGAAAAATGTTAACATATATGTCCCTTTAGATTGTAGGAAAAAATTAGGTCTGCTTATTCGGTCATTAAATATTCAGTAATGGTTTTATAGAACACCAGAAAGCACAAGTCAAACTCAAACTCTGCAGCTAAACAAATAATGTATTTAAAAGTAGTTTAGTTCAATATGTAAATTCAATGGGCGCTCTAACCCTCGACCAACAGAAGGGTACACCGTACTTGTGATGCACAACAATAGCCTCTTCAATGGCTGAAATCCAAGCAGAGTTATAAGTCTGCATGCTGCAATCTCCTTCAGTGTAGCAATTTCCAATAATCATATAGTTTTAAGTTATAGCCATGAGCAGTCATAGCCATGACTACAGGCAACAGTATGAGACTGATAAAAAGGCAAATCCAGGTTCTTAGACTGCTTGCAATTAAAAAAAAAAAAAAATGTATTAAAAGAATGAAAAGCTACAATAACTTGTGTGTTTATGTGCCTGGAGTTCACCTTTAACATCAGTAATGAGCTTCGGCTGGGAAAACTAGAAGACTAATCTCACTATGGGAATCAGACAGGATTGCAGGAATGGAGAGAGGTTACATTCATTGATTCATCTACACAGATTCAATTGTCTCACAAATAACATAGATAGCTACAGCAAATATGGGAGGATGGAGTCTTCTTAAAGAGGTTTTTCATATAAATGCGCTGCCAATAAAACAGAATTTGTGCCTTTTCAATTTCTACAGGCAACAACCCAAAGCTGTAACATATAGCGTCCAGAAGACCATAGCATTTAAATTGCAAATCAGTTATAAACTCAGTACCCCACATGCATGGCCAGATTTACCTCTGGAGCCTGTAGGCAGACAACTTTTGCCACCCATGCTTACCTTGCCGAATGGGAAAGCTAGCCCTGCCCCCAATGCACATTATACACACAATCTCACTAGTGCTCTAAATTATTATAATTTTTGACGGGAGAATTTAAGTTTCTTAAACACCCATATGGTTAGCCCTCTACATAGTGTAGTTGCTTCCAGGTTTTAGACAGAAATAGGGTCAATTCTGATGCACTGCAGTTTCCGCTTTATCCTTCAAGTATCCTCAATTTAGTGACAGTATGAAGAACAAACACTAGAGGGCAATGGTGCATTAAATAAAAACAACAGAATCTGCATCCATAGCATTTCAGACGCCTATTATCTAGTAGAACGCCCTAAATTATTTTAACAACATAAAATGTCCCCAATTATATTAATAGTAAGGTAGTTTAGTAGTAACCTGGCACTTTTTTTTTTTACTGAAAGAACTATAATTATTTAAAAAAATAAATCAATCAAATGTATGCCAACCTAGGAGCACATCAAAATAAATGGCATTCCTATAACTGAGTACTTCTAGTATTTAGTGTATGATAATATGCCATAACAAATCGTTACTTTCAGCCATGTGACTGTTCTCAACGCTATAATAAAGCCCGTGATTATTGTTTTAATTGGCAAACTATTGATTTCATCAATGATTCACCAATATTTCCCTTAGAGTGACCCGCCAGTCTCCATCCTGCCTGCTTGTCAAAGTCTACGTTCAACAACCTGGATATGAAGATTTTTTTTACTGAAATCCTAATTTGCATGTGTCGGAAACTGTCAGCTCCACCTGCACACAGTCATGTTAGTGGTTGAATGATCTGTGGCAGATGGACAAGTGGAGAGAGTGAATGTTGGTGAATGCATAGAATTATTATTAGTCACGATTGTGCCTGGAATCAAATGGGTTTTTTTTGATGGCTGCCGCTCATCAGCATTGCGTTTAAAGTTTTTACATGTAACAGTAAGAAAAGAAAAAGAAAAAAAAACACAAAAGCCACTTTCAGATGAGAGAAAAACTTACAGTCTGCATTGTGCTGCTCAGCTCCCATCCATCAATGGCAGCAAGAAAGGTCAGTGTGGCAACGTTATTATAACTAAGATATGCCTGGGACAGCACAAAAACAAAACAATAAAAACAGTCAGACGGATTTGCCACAACTCCAATTTGGCTGTTAATTTTGTTCACAGCAAAATGCATAACAGATTTACATTTAAAAAAATGTCAGATTATTTCTATGCACATGTAATTTAGATTTTGAATGTATTATTTTTTACAATGTATACAGCTCCATCTTGTGTCTCTGTAGAATGCAGATACAAAAAAAATAAACTTTGGAATGAGCATACACAACTACATAATATAGTAAATGCATAGAAAGCCCTGCATTTACAAGTGTACAATCTAGACAGCTGAAGCCAATGTGTGCCCCTTCTGGAGCCCGTTGTGCTCCAAACCTCTATTTGGGTCTGGAACACAGTACACTGAAAAATAATTGCCAGCAAATTGGGTAAGCTGCAGCGATGGAATCACTGATTGTTAGTGACAGCCATGGTCTAGCAGTAATTGCTACCCCGCTGTAGACCACTCTCAAATTGCTCCATAGTAGCATAGGGAAGAATAAAGTTCGGTGTAATGTTTAAAAGGGGAAGAAGTGATGCGATATCACCTGTCAGTCCATGTTTAGACAGGAACAGAGCTGGGTCAGTCTAAGCTGGCCATACACCTTAATATTTTTCTTGTTCTGCCCCGTGGGCTGAACAAGGTAAATCACTTGGTTTCTCCATCTACAGAAAAAGAGCAGATTTTGGGGCACGTTAGACCAGCCCTAACCTTATAATGAACACATAGTAGCCACAATTGAGACCCCCAATGATTTAAAAGAGGACTAAAGTGGTTTTAAAATTATAAATGCTGTGAAGTCAACCAATGTATGATGTATTCAGAGCAGTAGCTTGGACTGTATAACTAATTATGATTTGAGAACTCTGCTGACGGGCACTTTCCAGTGATCCTCCCTTAGAGGCACATGGCAGCTCGAGATAGCTGGATGAAATGTGTGCAGTAATATAATAGACTATACTGCCCTATAGACACAGGCCTGGAGGTCTTAGTGCAGAAATCTCTGCTTTAGGACTGAAACTTCTGCCAGATTGTGTACACACCACTGTAGAAGCTTAAAGGAGAATTATGGGGAGTGTGAAATAAACTCATCCCTATAATTAGAAACAACGTGTGACACTGAAGCTGTCACAAGTCAGCTCTATTGATCAAGAACCGAGCGATCACATACCGCTGATCGCTCAGTTTGGGATCTTCTCCTTGCAGGGATTCCCCCCTCCCCTTTCTGTTCCTCCGTCCCTTCAGTCAGCGCCGGATGAGGGAAGGGATGGGTACCGATGGCTGAAAGTCCATAGTCCCATCGCACTCCTGACCGCGAAATCCCTTTTCAAGAAACGGGTGCTATGGTAGTCGACGGATGGCAGCAATCACCAACATGAGCAAAAGCAGAGACACCGGCACTCCAGGATGAAAAGCAACAAACGTCTATTTATTGGCGTCAATAAATAGACGTTTGTTGCTTTTCATCCTTAAGTGCCGGGTACAGCTGGCACAGAGAACTATGGCAAAAAAAAAAATGTTGGTCTAAAGTTCTCTTTCAATTAGTTGTGTGCTGTAAAGGCAGTCAGTGCTGTAAATTGTGCTGCAAAGGCTGTACCATTTTTTGGGGTATCGTGATCAGCCGAGATCACTATAAATGTCTCTAACCTCAAATTACATCAGTAAAACATTTTAATTGAAATGAAAGTAACGCGTGCCAGATAATGAATCAGTGGACCAATAGTATTATGATATGACCAAGATAGTTGGAAGGAACTGTATACTAACAGCCAGTGGATGGAAGGACAGATGTAGCACTTAAAGCTGAACGCCAAAACAGACCAACAAACAGTTAAAATATTTTGCCAAAAGGATTTGTATTTCTTTTTGTTCAGTCCTGAGATTTACACAACCTTCCAGGCAGCACAGCCAAGATAGTGGCCTGACATTTTTCTATTGCAGTTATGCAACACCCCCAGCCTGTGAGTGGACACTGAAGGAGCAACAACACATAGGTAATCTGAGTAGATTACTGTAGTAGAATCTGCTCTCTCCTCCTGTCAGCACTGTCCTTATAAGTATATTTGAATGCAGCAATCAGCTTCTAGTGGTGCCCCTTGTGATGGTAATTAGGCCTGATGAACCCCAAACTGTGTGAAAAGAAAGGGGGAGTTGTACTAAACACAGTGCCATCCATATGGCAAGTTGGTAACAAACAATCAGATTTAAATCTCTGGTCTGTGCTAGGCAACCAGAAAAGGTTTGACAGAACACAGAGCCATCAAAAAAGAATGCAGCAGTGCCAGAACCTCCATTAGCAGAGTCCTCTGAAAGCTCAGAATGCAGCCCCGTTGTAAATTGCCGTGTCGTAAAACAGTCTGAAGCATGGTTTGAGCAAAGACGCATTCCATTTTAATTTTTTTTGTTGTTAACTATCAGAGCCAAAGTCTATTCATATTCCATAATTCTTACGGTGGAGTCCTCTTTATAAATAAATGGTTACAATGTAGTATGGAAGGAGGTCAATCAGACACGTGTATATTCCAAGGTCCAGAAGGTAGATGGTATACATTCACCTTAATAGGAGAGGTATTCATGATATCACATCTGGTGTTCAAAAATCATAATTTCATATTGTGCAGTAAATATGTTGGTTGAAAGATTGTCAAACCTTGTCACATGTACATATTGATGTATTTTGGTGGCAGTAAGAGTGTGTCCACTGAAATAAAAAATTTTCCAGTCCCTTTCAGCAAAGCCCTCAGTTTGATTGGGTGTGTTAATTCCGAGAGCGGAATCGTCACACCCCTTCTTTTTCCAGCCCTGTTGCAGCACTACAAGGGATTACCGAAGACTGATACCAAGTCAATTGTTGGTACTTAAACGAGTTTCATTAAAAATATGTTTAATGTATTTGCTTCAGAGGATGTCAGGCGTGTGGGAGTATCTGGTTGTATCTTGATTATGGTCCAAAAATCATAAAACCCAAAACACTGATGGGGTCTCCTCTTCGGAAAGACTCCTACGTTACACTCATCAACACGAAACCAGGTGGTTATTCGCCAATTCAATAACTTTTGGTCACATAGCAGTGTACCTTAAAATGGTATACAGTAGCCACAATGTAGTCCTAATCACTAGCACTAGTTGTGTCATGTTAGAGAAAGAGACAAATACAAAAATCTGGAGATAAGTAGAACTGTGGATGTGAAGTTTAAATGAGTAGAGTAGAATCAATTACCCCTAAGCAACACATTTGTATGTAATCAAATTTAGCTATAACAGTTTCTTTCAAAATGTGAATGTCATACATTTATAATTCATAAAAATAACATTCATCTGAAAGCTATAAATATGTCAAATGAACATCCAGAGCTTTTAGGACACACAAATACCTGGTTGCCTTTTTCCCAAGAATGAGAGATTGACTTTTCTGGTTTACTTGACAGAATATACTTTCTATAAAACAAACAACAACAAAACTAAACACTCTCAGAAAACTCTTGCAATACATAAAAAGGTATAAAGCTGGCTATGGAAGAAAAAATATTGAAGAAAATACTAGCATAAATGAATATATGCATCTATAGCTAGTGTGTGAAGGTATGGGCCTTACTTTTTTTACATATCAGTTAGTGCGTGCAGTATTTTAGTGCCACAAAATAAAGTGGCCCCATGGGAATTGGACTGGCCCACTTCACCCCATTTTTCATTTTAACAATTTTATTTATATTTAATAAATATATAAGATTGATAGGGTTTTTTGCTGATCTGCTGGGTTTTTTTTCTTACTTCGGGGTAATTTCTGTCCCACAGCATCCCCTTTCAGCTTCACCCCAGCAAATCCAAGCAGAGTAAGGGACAACTGATCACCCAATTCAATTGAGATTTTGGTGGAGAAAGAAAAATAAAAAATCGACATCCCAGAAGTACTTTTTTATGTTTATATAGATGCATCATGAAGGTCTTGTATTTTTATCTACAAATGCAAGCTTCCTACTCGCCTGCCTGGTTTGTATGGACAATTCTATTTACAGGCTTACGAGTAGCCTGGTGGTTGGGTAATGTCCCCCACTTTGTGGGTGAACAGTGCCTTGATTAATAGAATATGGTAAGTTCTATTTGATTTATGATGCTTTAGTTCTAAATAATAAAATTGTTGGTTATACAAGGTTTTTAGTTTGTGAACTTATGAAAGTTCTAGATCAAAACAAATTTAACCCCTTCATGACTGAGGCCCTTTTTTCATTTTTTGCACCCATGTTATATTTGTTTTACATTTTTTTTATTATTATTAGATTTATATTATTTAATTTTAAAAACTGTTTTGTTTTTTTACTTTACTTTGACTGCTATGTTAAACCCCAATAAAAGGACCACAGCCAAATCTTTTCCAAATTCATATGCCTGGAGTTTTATTACTCATGCTTTTTGTTTATGTTATGCATTTTTTGGGGTGGGGTGATAGTTAAGAAAACTCAATGGGAGGTATTAAATGTTAAATATGGAGTTGTAATGAATAATTATTACTGTATATTGTGCCTTTAAAACACAGTACTGGTCTTAGGTGTGAAAAGGGTAGCTAAAAAGAGAGGTGAGCATTGCCAGTCAGATGGAACCACCAAATCAGATTTAAACCTTGACACTTTGAATGACTCAAGTCAGTTTTCAGAAAGAAATTAAAAATAGGTCTGGTACCTGGCCACACGTATTTTCCTGCGTGCAATGGCTCCACGAAACCGCCTGATACTGTCCTACAATGACGAGAAGAATGTTCAAACAAAACCTCCATAATCTTAAAACATGTAGAGTCCACAATTTTGATTTAAAATACCAAAGTTTTCTTTTATTGTCACACATAAAACTATAATTATTTGCTGCTAAATGGCATTAAAAAGGTTCACAGAGCCTCCACTGGTTAAGGTATGACCTCAACCATTGCTGAATGTTGAACTACTATGAGTCCCAGCTGCACAAGAAACCCAGTACCGTCTGGCTGCCTAATCGTTGGTCTACCCAGCAATAAGACTGAGCACATCATATTGGATACATTTGAAGTGTATGTAAAGCCAAAACTTTAGTTTTAGATAGTGTAGTAAATGGGTTAAGACCAAAAACAGGTTCTTTTTTGCTCATTGGGGACATTTATTTTCACTTCTTGTCTCAGAGAGGCAAGGCAAATAGGAGGAAAATCTCCAAAGCAAGAAGAACTACCCACTTAGACAGTTTAACCAGAACATATGTCCCCATTGAATGATTTCCCCTCACCTCTTCTTCTGCCACAGGGCACCACAGTGGCTTAGTGGTTAGCACTTCTGCCTTTCAGCAGTGGGATGTTCTCCCTGTGCTTGCATGGGTTTCCTCTGGGTACTCCGGTTTCCTCCCACACTCCAAAGGTGTGCTGAAAGTTTAACTGTCTCCAGTTTAAATCATCCCTGTTTTCATGCGAGATAGGGACCTTAGTTTGTTAGCTCCTCAAGGGCAGGGACTGATGTGAATGTGCACAATGTAAAGTGCATAAAATCATTGGTGCTATATAAATACAGGTGATGTATATCTGTTTCTCTTGTTATTATATGCATTGTACTTTGTAAAATGGAGTTACCCTTTAAGATGCATAGAGTTGATTACTATCATCATGTGGGGCCGGTGCTAGCAGAAACATGCCTAGATTAATTGCCACTTGAGATGGCCATTTTTGCCGTCCCCATTTTTCCCCATGTGGCAAAATGGACACCTCAGGCTGTAGTCTCACAGATGAAGAGCCTGATAAAAATGTAGACTCCGCATCAATGAGCTGAGCTCCCAACAGCTGCGTCTCTCACAGAGGCTGATCCCGCACTCTCATCAGGTTTAGTGTTGCTGACCAGTCTCTACCACAGTGAGAGTGCTTTCTGTGTAATCATTCCTACACAAGAGCCTGGATGGTCAGTTAGTGATGATGTAAGCAGGGACCATTTGGGTTGAGTTTGTGGAGTAAAGTTAGACAGATCATGGCAATATCCTATTTTATAAGGAAAAAAATGTATAGCATTTATAGTGCTGATTTATGAAGTATCCCAGGCTGGTTCCAATATTTTTAAAACAAAGGTGCAGTTGTCCTTTGAAATGTTTTAATCAATGTTGTACTATGGAGGACTTTACGGCTCCGATTTAAACTGCTGATGTACCTTATATATGCGATAGTAAAAAGGTGCTGATCTCATGTTAACCTTGAGTACCCACGCCAATTTTATATATTCAATGGTAAAGGGTACAGATCGAATGATGAACTTTATAGGCACCACTAACTTGTAAATGTTTTTACCAATTTTTGTTTTTAACTAAATGCTTTTGAGGTTCTTGACCCATCAAGGATACCAGGTTTACATTTGAATGTATAAAATACTTCTGCAGATAAAATTAAGGAATGCAGGTATCATTTGCAAGTTTTATCCATAGGAGGACACTTTTGAATGTATATTGAGCTAGAATTTAAGTTGGAGCAAATTCACAGGGTTTATGGCAGTGTTACCACTTCCAATAAAAACAGTTGACTAAACAGAAACATCAGATACTGCGTGTTTGGTTAGTATACTAAATATGCTAAAACGAAACAATAAAAGGTGATCAGCGCCAGTAAGTGTAATGTGGAAATATGAGCTACCAAGCACTAAGGATATAACTAAATATCTGTAAAATGTGAAAAAACAATATTGTGCCGAGCTAATAAATCATACATATCTAATAAATTAAAACATATATAAATGAGTCACATATATGAGCCTTCAAACAAATGAGGCATAAGAAATATCTACACACATACAAAAAAGCAATATAGGCAAAAAAAAGTCCCAAGGAAAAAACAAACGCAAACAATGGTGATTGTGCAAAAAATTCATCTGAGGAATTTTTTGCACAATCACCATTGTTTGCGTTTGTTTTTTCCTTGGGACTTTTTTTGCCTATATTGCTTTTTTGTATGTGTGTAGATATTTCTTATGCCTCATTTGTTTGAAGGCTCATATATGTGACTCATTTATATATGTTTTAATTTATTAGATATGTATGATTATTAGCTCGGCACAATATTGTTTTTTCACATACTAAATATGCACAATTCCAGGGACAAAAAAAAATTATCTAGGCAACAAAAGGAAAAACTTCAACAAGCAGATGCCTGGCCTCTATAGCCATTGCTGAGCTTCAGTAAAGTCCAGATAAAGAAGAACCCATCTTTGATAACAGTACCAGGCTGTACTCATATCAGCTTAAAATATCGGAAATAATCTTTATTTTCCTGTTGGCAAACTGCTTGTTTCATCTTTGTACCCAATTTAATCACCAATACAATATTTTTTTATGAAATCACAACAGTTACTATCTAGATCAAAGCATACCTTTCCCTCTATGTGAAAGAGGGACACATTGCAGCACAATGTATTTAGGCAATGGACACACCACTGCCACCCGCCCCCCCCCCCCCCCCGCGGGTCCACAA